ATAACTCAGATTTTAGTGTTCTTTATATGCTCAAAAACCTTGATACGATTACTACCACTTTATTTAACTCAAAAAGGATTTTAGGAAAGTTCAATTTTGACCTAATTTGACTGGTGTTACATTATATGGACATGAAATATCGGGTTGTCACAAAATTGATGTGATATGTGCATTGGGATGTGTAACTTATCATCTAGATTAGTGTGTCACCGTCTAGAATTGGAGTTTTCGGCCTATCCATTACACCGAAATCCTTGATTTTGGTCCAAAATTCCAACTGAAAAGGGAGTTTTCGGTCAAGGTTCTCGGTCCAACAAAGGGGTTTGCGGTCCGAAGGTGTTTTGCGGTGGAGGCTAATTTCGGTTCGAGGGTGGGGTCTTGCAAGGCAATTTCGATTGGGGTGTTTTCGATCCAAATGTTTCTTAATTTGGTGTATTCGTTTTTGGTTTGGAATTGATTCCAAATACCGAAAATGCATTAAGTGGGGTATAAATCACTAAATATTGTAAATCTTTCGTTATTTAATTATTTTATTTATAATTGACGTGCTTCACTTTCATTGACTGCTTTGACTTTTATTTACCTGAAATAACCGGTTATTAGATTTATGTACCCAAAAGAATACAACATGTGCTCACTTTGCTAATTGATGAAGACTAATTGCTAGTCTAACATCATGTCTTGAAACGTTTTCCACTACACAATTAATACAAACCTCACATCGGCATCGATTCCTTGGTGTCAATATTAAAACGCACTCTCGTACCCAGAACCTTGTTTCCCAACCAACCCATACCTCTGCCAAATACATACACAAATATAGCCAGAAACCTTGTATACATATGGTGGTCTGGTCAGGGCCACGCTGTGGCATTCCCTTTGCCACGTCGTGGAAACTGCCACATATTACTTTGACATTGCCACGTATCCCACTTCGTCATCATCTTTACATATCATGTTTATAATTTATCCACATCCTGGTTAATATAGGTTCCATGTGTCACTATGGTGTTGTTGAAACTTGTCGAAGCTATCTTTACACTCTCCATGTCGTGGCTATAACATACTTTTAAAATGATCGTAATTTCTCTATACAAACTCTGTTTTTAACGTTGTTTATATCCACATGACCGCCTTGAGAAGCTCTATGACTTCATATAATTAGTATCCTATTAATGACGTTGCATTTCTGATTTGATTTATTGTTAATAAGGTAGTAATTTTCCATTCGTTATGGTAAACCTACAATGAAACATTTATTTGGGTCGAAATGGATATGGAGTATTGGAATTTTCCCTTTGTGGAGATCAAAGCTATCAAGTTAGTAAGCTATAAGTCTGAAGGATCGGCGATTAGAGAAGAGGTGCAGATGTGAGTAGAGGTTGAGATTGAGTCGTTATCGGTGTGGGAGCTGGTGTTTATCAAAGTTTATACCAAACACATTTTCTTAAACTATCTAAAAATATAAATTCTTTTAATTTCAATTTATTGTCTTGCAACGACATGTTACCAAAATCTTAGGAAACGGGGTCTCCTCCTTACTTTAAGAAACTAATTAAAAAACAAATTCTTTTAATTTTTGTTTTATGGCAACCACATGTCGCCATAGTATGTCAAAAACGCACTCAATTTCTTTTTGCTCTTGTCTAACATATTGCGAAGACATGTGGTTGTCATAGCTTAAGAGGTTAAAATTCTTTTAGTCCATTTTATGCCGACGACATGTCCTTAGTACATATCCATTTATAGTTACAAAGGTCGTCCCTGTAAGTCTCATTAGGTGGTGTTTCTTGTTTTATAACTTAAAATATTAGAGAAAGGCATGGTAACGAAGTAGTCAATTAGTATTAATACGATAGTTAAAATTAATAGGATATAAGATAATTAAATTTGAAAACTTAGGAAATGAAATATTCAAAATATTTTACTATAATTAAAAAATATATTTTGTTTTATCGTAAAATAATACACAATTTTTTTTTAAATACGTTGAAACCTCAAGAATGTAAATTTCCTGGTGTAAGATATCAAGATATACCATTTTTTTTTTCAATGTTAATGATATTCTATATATAATTTTTTTATTTGAATTCAATACATATCGATTGAAGGCAAACGGGCAACAAGTTGAGCCGCTAGTCCTTTTTGGATGACAAAACGAATTCTTTTGAAAACAATATTTGTGGATCTAGGAGATATGACATTAGAATGCATGACCCGTTGGACTCTATTAATGAGTTCCACCACCTTTGGTGCGAGAAAACCAAATGTATCGAATGCAAAAGGAACAAACACATGTTGATTTTCTCTACATACATTCCCGTGCTTTACCACTTTGCACGCAGCGGCTTTCAAAGCGGCATGCCTAGCTGCGAAACCTCCGCTCCCCAAACCAACGAGAGGAGATACACCAGTTTGATCCACGCACACATGCTTCCCTCCTATCTATCCAAAGATCAAAATGTTAGCCGGTCTATGTGTAGACCTGCCATCCTGCGGGTCCGTAAAAAAGTTCACTGGCGCTTCTTTCTTCACAGATATACTAGCACACCGACAAGCATCAAAGAGAACATCCCGAACTACATCACGTCTATACTTGAAACCAGGGAGCTCTCTACAATGAACCGCATGTTCCCCGAAGGTATCCAAACATGCCTTGCGACAAACTGGGCATATCTCGTCAATTTGGAATATGAAAATCATGAGGCGGTAACGAAGGATAGTTCGATACTCCACATGAGACATATGTTGGCCAAGACCATCAATAGGGATAGTTAGTAGAAAATCCTGAGCATGAGGCGCCCGCAGACACTCAAAGACTACTTTCTGTCTGACAGTCATATCAAAGTTGACTTCCATATCTTGGACGATTTTGCTAACAAGGGCACACGCCAAAGCTTTTTGGGATTTAGGGGGGAGGGGGGGCAGTGTCCTTATTAGTGAAACCGCTATAGTCAAATCCCGGAATTGTATCACAGAGACGAGTCATAGCACATAGCTAATCCGAGTCCATACCACATATGCAACTATCACGTAAGATGTGGTTTTGTAATGCCCAAGATTGGGCCCTCGAGACTACAAATGCATAGGAGTAAACCTCGTAGGCCGAGTACAAACCCAAACCACTGAAGCGAATAGGTAAGGAAGCCAAGCGCCACTGAATGTCTCCAAAGAAGGGGCCTCCACATACCACCATATCCTTGATAGACCTGCGCAATCCCTTGTCAAAGAATAATGCTGCCTCTTCTATATGTATCGATAGACATGTTCTTAAACCAAAGAAAAGTTTTGCAATGCCCATACATGATCGAAGCAAAAGGAGCTCACTCTGCGGGTCACATAGTTGTGGAAGAAGGCCCATCAAATCAACAGCATTGACCGCTCTTTTCATGGCCAGCCCGCTAATAAACCCCGCATCTCTGCTAACAACCCCCCCAAGGAGTTTCACCCATAAAGAAGGTCTCCCTATCTCTGTAGGGAATAAATCAGCCCGAAGCTTCCTACCATCACATGAGGGCCAAAAATCTCTGTTTTTTTATGTTCAACTCAAGACCCAAACCTGGACCATGCATACGAATTATGTTTAATACTCTAGCCACCTCCTCTGAATCCCTAATGATAGTCCCATCATCTAGGTACCAAGCATGGAGAAAGAGCTTACATTTGTCTCTAATCTTATGCACAAGCGGGTGCAAAACAAGGGCAAAAAGAAGAGGGCCCAAGGGGTCACCTTGTTGCACCCCAGTGGTAGACCATATATGTTCGTCTCCGATATAAAGTCTCGTTGCTTGGCCGTACAAGAATTTCACCCACAAAGAAATGGAAGGGCACATCTTCTTAACCTCGTGGAGAAATGCTGAACGATCCACCAGGTTAAAGGCATTCGAAAAATCCACAGTCAGCATTACAAGAGACCCATCAGAATGGTGTTCACTCAACACCCTATTGGTACTGTGTAACACAGCCTCAGCACCGCCAGATACACCAACCCCAAACTGAAAATCATTAAGGTACTTGGCCATTTCTTTACCCACACCTTTCATGGCAACCTTGTAAACCAGACGTCTCCATATAGTGCCTACTGCAATCGGATAGATCCCGTTGTCAGGTTTAAGTAGAGGCGTGAGAGGAGCGGATTCAACAAACTCTGCCAAAATGGTTGGACATCTTCCATCTAACCATAAATTAACAACTGAAGTGATAGCATGTATGAGATCTGTGGCAATAGTAGACCCTTCTCCACAAAGGGCGTCTAGTAAGTGTTGAGCCCTCAAGCCATCTCTCCCGCAAGAAGTTCCTTTAGGGAAGGATTTGATGCAACTAAATACACAATCAAAGTCTGCTACAAGGGGAGGTTCAGAAATTATAGGGCTCGACATGGATAGCGGTGGTCTGAAAGGGTGTTTGTCCTCCAACGCTTTAATAGTATCACCATTATATGGTGCAACACCCGATGAGCATAACACTTTCACTGCTGCGGTAAAATGACCATCTGCAACCTTACGGAGGCACTGTCTGATGTTGGTGTTACTTGATGTAGCCTCCTTCTGAAGGATGCCTCCACCCTGCTCATTGTATTTTCTTGACCGATGTAAAATTATTTGTTTAACTAGAATTGAATTAAGGTGACAAATTTAATTGTTATACAAACTTTATCTTTTTATATTCAATAGATTTAAAATTCAATAATCATTGAATAGAGAAAAATAAATGTTTTTAAACATTTAAATAAATATGGTAATATTTCATTTAATTTTGTGGACTTCAATCCATTACGAATATAAAATAGGACTCTAAATTTTAAATACATTAGCTTAGAAATATAGGAAAGATATAGATTACAATTTCATGACAAGAAAAAACATAATGAAATGAAATAATCACACATGCGTTACAATAATAAAGGAAACTACAATTTCAATGAATTAATGTGACGTGGTAGATGTTAGCACACCATTAATCCTGCATCCATGCATAACGAAAACACTGAGATACAATACTTAAATTGAAACACTATGGAGAACCACGGTATCCACAGTAAGCCCAGGTCCGAATCCAAACAAAACCCCCCAATCTAGACCTTCTCCGGTAGTCTTCGACCCATCGGTAACCGAAGAGTGTCGCATTTCGTTTAGGATAAAGAGGACACTAGCACATGACAAGTTCCCATATTCACTGAGTACGTGGCGAGTAGCCCGTAGTTTCTCTGGGGTAAGGCTTAGGCTTTCCTCCACTTGGTCCAAGATCGCACGGCCACCTGGATGTGGGACCCAGAAAAGTGAGTTCCAATCAAAGATACCGAATGGTTGAAAAGCCTCTACCAAGCTCTTTTCCATGTGTTTCGAGATAAGTGAAGGAACATTTTTGAGAAGATGAAGTGTAAGCCCGGCTTCACGAAGGTGCCCTTCAATTGCACCCTCGCTATCTGGGAGAATAGTTTGGGAAGCAGAAACAATCTGAAACAGTGGCTTTTCGACATCATGCAATGGATCAGAGCCAACTATGATAGCTGCTGCCCCATCACCAAACAAAGCCTGACCTACAAGGCTATCAACATGCTTTTCATCGGGCCCACGGAAAGTTAGTGCAGTGATCTCCGAGCAAACGACTAAAACACGGGCTCCCTTGTTGTTCTCGGCCATGTCCTTAGCCAAACGAAGGACTGTGCCACCAGCGAAACACCCTTGGGTGTACATCATCACACGTTTGACTGAAGGAGGAAGGCCAAGGAGCTTTATCAGCTTGTAATCAGCTCCCGGCATGTCAACGCCGGTGGTGGTGCAAAACACCACGTGGGTGATCTTTGATTTTGGTTGGCCCCATTCTTTGATGGCCTGAGCTGCTGCATCTGCACCGAGCTTTGGTATTTCCATGATTGCAATCTCTTGTCTTTCATCTAAAGATGGTGCCATGTGGGCACAAAAGTCTGGCTTCTGTTTTAGTAACTCTTCTGTCAAGCACGTGTATCGTTTTTTTACCATGGATTTTTCACCTGGAGACCACATTAGGAAAAGAGATCGGTTACACACGAAAATTATGAACAACAATTACGTTAATTAACAAGTATAGTATAAAGATAACTTACACATGCGTCTAAATTTCTCCTTAAGTTCTGTCTTGTGCTCGCTTTTTGTAATACGAAAATAGTAATCGGGATACGTGCTTTGGAGCACACAATTCGGTGGTGTTGCTGTCCCGATGGCAATAATTGTTGCTGGACCTTCTGCTCTGTGGGTCTTTACGAACTCCTCAACAATAACCATTTTCAGTTGAATGTAGGAATGGTTGTGCTTAATTACTTTATCAAGTTATAAATTTGTGTGTTGAGTTATGGTTGCATGGTGGCAATTTATAGAAAAATGTGGGGTGAAGTCATCACATGCATGTAGGGTGTCGATCACATGTATTGAAACTATACAAATTAAAGCTAGTGTGTATTAGAAATTATCGATCTACACTTATTATGAAAACGTAAATTTACGATAATGCTAAACAAAATTAAAGTACTGACTTTGTGTAGTAATAAAACTTTATAGTAATTAATGAAAGTTAATAATTATAATTGAATATTATATCTAATAAAAAATAATGAACTACTAGAAATTTTTGTTTTAACTTACTTGCAACACAAAGGTATTCCAACAAAAGTTCCTAAAAAACCTGCAACAAAAAAAAAAAAAAAAAAAAGGGTAATCCAAGAAATTTCCAGGAAGAATATACCCAGATGATGTCGGAAAAGTGTTGGTATTTTCCTACAAAATACCGTTAATTAATCTTTAAAAGTGTTGGAATTTCAGAGGAAACATTATAGCCGGAAATGATAACCTTTTAGTATTAAGTTGATTGTTTTTTTACATTCTAATATACATTATATAAAAAAATTTGACAAACAACTAATACGAAAAGCTAAAAAATAGAATTTGATTAAAACGACAAAATAAAATTGAAATTATGAAGTTATCTGCATTAGAATTTCTAATAAGAAAATAAAATTAAATCATTAAAACTACAAAACAAATGAAAACATATGTTAAGAAATTAACAAATCAAATGAAATATACATAAAATTTGAAAGAGGTTTTAAACTGGATGATACTTTCCTCCCATTTTAACCTAGCTGTTTTTATACTTAGAAAACTTTTTTATTACCAACAAAATACCTAAGAATGATGTATTAAATTAAACTATTTTGAAAAACTAAACTGTTGGAAGTTTATTGAAATAGACCGTAGGAATTTCATGAGAAATAATGTCCTTAGGAATTTCATAGGAAAAATTGTATCAAACTGTCTTGCTGGAAATTTCCTACGAAATATTATGTAGAAAATTTGTCAAACAGTTCGTCGGAATTTTTTAGGAATCATGTTTCTGACAACCCTTTTTCCCACAAATGATTTTCAACGCAGCTTTGTGGCTAAATTTTGTTTCTTGCTAAATACCAACAAAATTGATTGCAGGTAACCATCCAATTTTCTAGTAGTCATGTGATTATATTTTTAATAAAACATATTGGTGTTCACTAAAAGTAATTTTTGTAATATCGGCGACACTAAATATTTTGAAAAATGTAAAGAGCGCGTTTTATGTTGCCGCTAATAGATTGTGTCATTGTTAAATCCATTTTTGCTATTATGAAAATCAGATATCTATATGCTCATTACCAAGTAAACATCAATTGATACAATAGATCAAGTGGTTATGGTTTAGTTAGTACAAATGGCTTTACTAGCAATAGCATTTGTAACGACATAGTCGTCACAAATACCCCTAAAATATGGCTCACGAACTTTTCCCTCCAAGGATGTATTTTTCACCACTTTTACTCAGTAGTTGTCAATATTAATATCTGTTTGTCATCAGAATTAGCGTCGGTGCTAAAGCATTCCCTGCATATCCCCATTTCTAGTCATAATTGTTTATGGAGACTGTATCATCTCTCCTAAATCCTCCGGTGACTTGAAACGCCACTGATCCTGAACTTCACAACCAGACACACCGCAACTACTGGATCATTTCCCCACCACTAGGTCTTTTAAAATTCCCCTTGATTGATACCAATGTCGGGTTGCTATCACCAAGTTATCACCATACCACCATCATCGATAACCCACAGGTTCGATTCATACCGGTCTCATCCCTTTTTTGTTTCTATTTTTTTTTTGAATTTCTAATGGCTCAATTTTGGAAGTTTGTTTATAGTTATTGGAAATCCTAGTTGCTAGAGTACAACCACCAAATCACCACCACCCTTTCACCATCCTTCTTTTCCCTATGAGGAAGTTGGTTTCAATTTCTTTATTTATCTAAAAACAAGAACTCGATTTTGTATGTATATTTTTGGAGTGTATGTGTATAATTTTTATTTGTATGTATGAAATTTGAAATTATGTACACACGCACATATATATATATATATATATATATATATATATATATATATATATATATACACACACGCATGCATGTATTTTTATGTAATGTGGATCGTATGTATGTATATTGTATGTGTATGTGTGTATAATGTGTATTTGTACATATGAAAACACAAAATTGTGTAGGTATATATATATATATATGTGTGTGTGTGTGTGTGTGTGTGTGTGTGTAATGTGAACTACGTTTGTGTATAATGTGTTTTTGTACGTATTAAAACAAGAAAGTATTTAATTATATGTGTATATGTTTGCAATGTGGTTTGTATGTGTGTATAATGTGTATTTGTGTGCATAAAAACACAAATTTGTGTATGTATATGTGTATTTTCTATTCAATGTGGTTTGTATTTTTAATAAAGTTTCTATATTCGTGTATAATGTATGCATATGCAAATGCATAATTTATGTGTGTATAGTGTGTCTATTTTTTACAAGTGTATATTAGAAGTATTTGTATGTTTTAAACCATGAAATGATGTATGTATATGTGTATTTGTATGCAATGTGTAAACTATAATAATAAATGTTAAAAAAAACTAGGATGTTACAAGTCACAATGCTATTTAAAGTGCATTACTATAATAGACTACCCCTAGAATATGACCCACAAACTTTGTCATTGTCATTGCTCAATACTTGACGCACGCTAATACCAATTTGTCAGCAACATTAGTGTGATCGCTAAAGTGTTCCCTATATATATATATATATATATATATATATATATATATATATATATATATATATATATATCCCATTTCTAGTCCCAATTGTCGATGTAGGCTGTATCAACTCTACCAAATCCTCATGTGACTTGAAACGCCACCCATCATAAACTTCACCACCATACACACCACCACTGTTGGAGAATTTCCCCAACATTAGTTCTTTTAAAGTTCCCCTCAATGGATACCAACATCGGGCTGCTATCACCAGTGGACCAGTGGACCACCATCACTGACGACCCACAGGTTTGATTCACACCAATCCAATCCCTTTTATTGTTTCTCTTTCTGATTCCATTTTTCGTATGACTCAATTTTGGAATTTTTTTAGCTACCAGAATTACTAGTTGCTAGAGTACAGCCACCACATCACCATCGTCATCCTTACTTCCTATCAGGAAGGTGGTTTAAGTTTGTTTTGGTATATAAAAATAGGAAATCGATTTTATATGTATACATGTGGAATGTATGCGTGTATATGTGTGTATAATGTGTATGTGTATGTATGTAAACAAAAATTGTGTACATATAAGAGTATTCTTATGTAATGTGGATTGTATGTGTGTATATTGTATGTATATGTGTGTATAATGTGTATTTGTATGTATGAAAAAAGAAATTATGTATATATATATATATATATGTGTGTGTGTGTGTGTGTGTGTGTGCATGTGTGTATTTGTATGCAATGTGGATTACGTGTGTGTGTATAATGTATATATTTGTGTATAATATGTATTTACATGTATTGAAACAAGAAACTACGTATATATGTATGTATTTGTTTGTAATGTGTATTGTGTGTGTGTATAATATGTGTTTGTATGTATGAGACATGATATTATGTATGTATATGTCTAATTTTAAGTAATGCGGATTATATTATGTACAAAAGTTTCAATACGTGTGTATAATATATGTATCTGCAAAATATATATTGTATATATGTGTATAGTATGTGTATTTGTTTGTATAAGAGTATATGATGCAACGTACAAAAATAAACAAAGATAAACCAGAATGAACGTGTTGATTCTAGAAGAATAACCAATACAATCTCTTCAAAACTATGTTGATTCTACGAATATCGGGTCGAGGGGGTGGGGTTCTACGACATGCTCCTCATTTCAAGCTTCGTTTTGACCGATCGCCGGCCCAAAAAGGAGTCTCGTAGCAAAAGTTATGGTCATTTCCATGAAAGCCCTTTTACTCACATGATCACGAGCCTCTAGGAACACATGAGCCCAATCCTCCACACTAGGGCCCGCATCAATATATTATATGTACTTGTATGTATTTAAACATCAAATTACATTTGTCTATGTGTATTTGTAAGAAATGTGTAAGCAATAATGATATAACGGAAAAAAAGGTGCAATAATTCACAATGCTATTTAAAGTGCATTACTATAATAGAATACCCCTAAAATATGGCCCACAAACTTTTCCCTCCAATAATGTATTTCTCTTTGCTATTACTCCGTGGCTATAGCTGTTAATATCAGTTTTCCATCAACATTGTTGACACCCCTAAAGCATTGAAACGAGACCCATCACAACCTTTCCAGTCAAAATTATCGATATAGCCTGTATTATATCTCCTAAATCCTCCCATGACTTGAAACAAGCCCTATCACCACTGACTGAAGGATCATTTCCCCACCACTATCATGCTTGAAACAAGCCCTATCACCAATCTTATCCCTCTTTTTGTTTATCTTTCTCCAATTTTTGTGACTCGATTTTGATGAACTCAAATTTGGAAGTTTTTTTCACGACTAGAATTCCTAGTTTTTGGAGCACACCAACAGCATCACCACCATCCTTCGTTATGGTTGCAAAAAATTTAATGTTAGGTTCTTTCTTTATATTAAAACGCAAACTTGATTTTGCATGTATATATATGGAATGTAGGTGTGCATAATGCATGTATATGTGTGTATAACGTGTATTGGTATGAATTAAATAATATATATATATATATATATATATGTGTGTGTGTGTGTGTGTGTGTGTTTGTATTTAATGTGGATTGTATGTATATATAACGTATGTGATGCGTACATAATGTGTATTTGCAGTAATGAAAATAGAAATTATGTGTATGTGTATGTGTGTCTAAATATATATATATATATATATATATATA